AAAATTTAAAAAAATTATCAAATTTAAATCGGACTGTTCTCAGAGATCACCAGATTTCCAGATGATTTAAAAATTTTTAAATTTAAACAATTTAAATCGAAATCTTTTAAACTTTTCAAGGCTCCGAAAAATTTACAAAATTTAAATCGCAATCTTTTATATTTTTTAAAATTTTGAAAACTTGCTAAATTTTGAAATCATCTGGAAATCTGGTGATCTCTGAGAACAGTCCTGCGATTTAAAAATTTTCTAAATTTTCGGAGGCTCCGAAAAATTTAGAAAATTTTAAAAATGTACACCGCCCCAAAAGTTTCTGGCACAAGTCAGGGTTCCCGGGAGTGTTCCCGGATGCGCCATCAATGTATTTTTCCTCGCTATTTTGCACCTGTAGATGGCGCATTTATAGGGAGAGGGGGGTGCAAAAATGCAAACGCAAGAAAAAATGAGCTTGCAAAAACGAGCGAAAAAAACGCGCTATAGATGGCACAATGCACATCAGTGCAAAGCCATCCAAAGCAGTCCAAACACCACTCAAGCCCATCAGTGCCCATCCTACTCTGTTTTTTACTATTTCTCCTGCTTTTCCTTTCTCTTTCTCTTTCTCTTTCTTTCTCTGCACAAGAGATTCAGCTATTGTAGTTCTACTTTCTAACTGGAGTATATAGATGGAGCGTGCCGTCAGGGGTCTCCGAGTACGAGGTTTTGAAGCCTAAATCTCGCCCTTTATATACTGTCAGGATGCCTACTGATGGCGCAACTCTACTGTGGTACTCTGGCGCTCGTAGATGGCGCAATTTTTTTTTAAACCATCTATTTTCAGGACGGAGTAAAAATTAAATATAAAAGATTGCGATTTAAATTTTTAAATTTTTCGGAGCCTTGAAAAATTTAAAAATTTAAAAATATAAAAGATTTCGATTTATATTTTTTAAAATTTTTTAAATTTTTCGGAGCCTCCGAAAATTTAAAAAATTTAAATCGGACAGTTCTCAGAGATCACCAGATTTCCAGATGATTTATAAATTAAAAAAATTTAAAACATTTAAAACATATAAAAGATTGCGATTTAAATTTTCTAAATTTTTAAAACTTTTCGGAGCATTGAAAAATTAAAAAAAGTAAAAAATACAAAAGATTTCGATTAATATTTTTTAATTTTTTAAACTTTCAAAATTTTATAGATTTTTAAATCATCTGGAAATCTGGTGATCTCTGAGAACAGTCCTGCGATTTAAATTCTTTAAATTTTCGGAGGCTCCGAAAAATTTAAAAATTTAAAAAATAGAAAAGATTGCGATTTAATTTTTTGGAGCGTTGAAAAATATACAAAATTACAAAATATAAAAGATTTCGATTTATATTTAAAATTTTTTAAAATTTTTCGGAGCCTCCGAAAATTTAAAAAATTTAAGAATTTAAATTGGACTGTTCTCAGAGATCACCAGATTTCCAGATGATTTAAAAACTTAAAAAACTTAAAAAATTTTAAAAGATTGCGATTTAATATATAGATATAAAAGATTTCGATTTGTATTTTTATTTTTTTAATTTTTTTTAGATTCTTAAATCATCTGGAAATCTGGTGATCTCTGAGAACAGTCCTACGATTTAAATTTTTTAAATTTTCGGAGGCTCCGAAAAAAGTAAAAAATTTCAAAAATATAACAGATTGCGATTTAAATTTTGAAATCTGAACATATCAGACGACAGCCCAATTTAAATACATTATTTTTGATATAGTATATAAGTATTAATCTATATATTTAATCATGTTAGCTTAAATTATCTCAAGGCAGACTGCGCGGCACATAGGGTATACTCTTCCCTCTTACGGGGGAGGGGGGTGGGGGTGTTAGACATTGATCTACCAATCTTTACTCCCGAGCAGGCTCTCAAGCCAGCCCCTTTGCTTCGCAAAGCTAACTCAAGGTAGTCCTTACCAGGCTACCTTTCGTGAATACATTGCTTCAAAACACAAATGTCAACACCAATCTGATTCTTGCGAGTGAATTTAAGAACATCTGGGAAGGAGATAAACAACCTGATGGACAACCATTAGGGTCAAGAACAGTTCAAAAAAAGTAAAATGGATCTAATGGCTGTTAGGTCATTTGCAAAGAAAGATGGAAATGCACACGGAAAAAAGGAGAGAACACGTTGTTTGTGGTTTCCTGATGGTGAAGGGCATTAGAGAAATAGGGAAAACACATGAAAACAACATTACAATCAACCAGAACTCAAACCTACCCCCCCCAACCAATCACTATTTTCACAAGGTGCCAGTAAAGCAGGCTGCAG